AAGAGTCAGATATAGAATAGACTACAAAGTTGGGGTTAGGTTAAAAGGTTATCCAAGCTGAAAACTTTTGTAGTCTGCGCTTTTCCATTAGAAAATTTTGTAGTGTCCGCTTTTTTAGACTACAAAAGTTTGTAGTGTGTGCCTGTTTAATAGAAAAGTTTATAGTGTCTGCTTTTTAGACCACAAAGTTTGTAGTGTCCACTTTTGTATTAGAAAAGTTTGTAGTGTCTGCTTTTTAGACTGCAAAAGTTTGTACTGTCCACATTTTGAGGCTACAAAAATTTGTAGTTGACATATAGTTTATAGTGTCCTTGACTCTGTATAGGTTATGGGGATGAGGTTAAAGAATTGACATAATTTTACATATTGCCATTGCTGCAGCATTGATTTTTGACATCATGTACAAGTTGTCTTTCATGTCAAGAAAGGCTATTATATTCTATGCCTTCCTATTGATAGCTACTGTCCTATTTCAAAATCATAGTTCTAGGTCCATGTGGATATGGTTTGAAGGATTAAATAACTTTACCTTTTGCTATGGCCACATCATTAACTTTTGATACAAAAGTGGACACTACAAACTTTGTGGTCTAAAAAGCAGACACTATAAACTTTTCTATTAAACAGGCACACACTACAAACTTTTGTAGTCTAAAAAAGCGGACACTACAAAATTTTCTAATGGAAAAGCGCAGACTACAAAAGTTTTCAGCTTGGATAACCTTTTAACCTAACCCCAACTTTGTAGTCTATTCTATATCTGACTCTTGTAGTCTGTCAGTGTCAATTGCTCTTTCAGGGAATGCACCTTCCTTTTTTGGTCATTTTTCCCACAATACAACATTTGTTGCCCTTTCATTTAGCTTTCTAAATGTGTTGGAATCATGTTATTTGGTTTTGTTTTCATGGAGAAAAATGCAAAAAACAAAAAAAAACACGGCACTTGGAAGAATCTTTTACATCATATCTTCACAATGGGAGCACTTCACAACATAATTCAAACAGATTCAGGAAGCTACAGTGTAGGGCTACAACTTTCGTTTTTTGACCATTTTAGGAAATTGGTCATGTGATCACCCTCCCAACAACCCATGTGATACATATCATCATTATTATCTATTTTTGGTAATGAAAGTGCTAGGGAGCCTAATGAGGAGTAATGAAATCATCAAGGTGCTCAATGAAATATCCTAATGAAAGCCCCAAGAAGCCTAATGAAATATATTAATGAGAATTCCATGAAATGGTAATGAAAGAGTCAAGGAGCTGAATGAAATATCCTAATGAAAATTCAATGAAAATCTAATGAAAGTGCCAAGGAGCCTAATGAAATATCCTACTGAGAACTGTAAGAAATGGTAATGAAAGGGTCAAGGAACATAATGAAATATTCTAATGAAAAAATTCAATGAAATGGTAATGAAAGGGTCAAGGAGCTGAATGAAATATCCCAATGAAAATTTTAAGAAATGGTAATGAAAGGGCCAAATACCTAATGAAATATCCTTATGAGAAATGGTAATGAAAAAGCGAAGGAGCCTAATGAAATATCCTAATGAAAATTCTAA